CATCGTCAACTACTTGGTGGCCGGAGTCTTACCCCCGGACTTGTCATTCTATCAGACGAAGAAATTTCTCCACGACGTGAAGTTCTATATGTGGGATGAGCCTCTTCTCTTTAAGAGGTGTGCCGATATGATCGTTCGACGATGCGTTCCACAAGAAGAATGGGATGGAATTCTTCAGCAGTGTCACTCTTCACCGACGGGAGGCCACTTTGGAGCAGTTCGTACTGCAGCAAAGGTATTACAGAGTGGTTTCTATTGGCCGACCTTATATAAAGAGTGCTATATTTTTGTGAACCAGTGTGATCGATGCCAGAGGATGGGCAATATTTCTAGACGCCATGAGATGCCTATGACGAATGTGATCGAGGTCGAGTTGTTCGATGTTTGGGGGATTGACTTCATGGGTCCGTTCCCTTCCTCATGTGGAAACCGGTATATATTACTTGCAGTTGAGTATGTCTCTCATTGGGTGGAGGCAATTCCCTCGAGCACCAATGATGCCGCTGTTGTTCTCAAGTTTCTGAAGAAAAATATTTTCACACGGTTTGGGACCCCGAGAGCCTTGATTAGTGATGGGGGTTCTCACTTTGTGAATAAATTAATGGAGAAGCTTCTTTCGAAATATGGCGTCAAGCATAAAGTGGCCTTAGCCTATCACCCGCAAGCGAATGGGCGAGCAGAGGTGGCGAACCGAGAAATCAAGCATATATTGGAGAAGACGGTGAGCACAAATCGGAAGAATTGGTCGTTGAAGCTCGATGACGCACTTTGGGCCTATCGCACGGCCTATAAGACACCACTGGGATCATCTCCATACCGGCTTGTTTTTGGTAAGTCGTGTCATCTTCCGGTTGAGTTAGAGCATCGAGCTATGTGGGCTGTGAAGAAGATAAACTGTGATTTTCACGAGGCGGGTAAGAAAAGGCTTCTCGATTTGAATGAGTTGGAGGAATGGCAAAATGATTGTTATGAGAATTCGAGAATTCACAAGGAGCGAACGAAAAGGTGGCATGACCGGATGATCCACAAGAGAGAATTTTTTCCCGGAGAACAAGTCCTTTTGTTTAATTCACGATTAAAGTTATTCCCGGGAAAATTGAAGTCGAGATGGTCGGGGCCTTTTGTGATTAAGAAG